TAATACAGTTCCTCATGTTGTGGTGACCAGCAACCATAACATTATTTTTGTTGCTACTTCATAACTGTCATTTTGCTACTGTTATCAATCGTCATGTAAATATCTGATTTGCAGGACGTATGTTCATTCACTGGACCAAATTTGGCAGAAATGCGAGATACACCCAAAGTTGAATACTGGTGGGGTAGGAAGGGGGGTTGAGTTTGTTATTTGGGAGTAGTAGTTGCTGGGATTTATAGTTCACCTACAATCAAAGCAGATTATGAACTCCACCAATGATGAAATTGAACCAAACTTAACAAACAGAACACCCATAAACAACAAAAAATACTGGGAAAGTTTGGTTGGTAGTGGCCTTGAGTTTTGGAGTTTTTTTGTTTTGTTTTGTTTTGTTTTTTTGTCGTGTCAGGAGCAACCGCTCCTGTTATGAGAGAATTGGCTGTCTGCAAGGACGTTGCCCAGGGGACGCCTGGATGATTTTTGATGTTTTATCATCTTTGTGGGAGGCTTCTCTCATGTCCCCGCATGAGAAGCTAATAGAGGGAGCTCATCCGCCTCTCCCCGGATTTGAACCTGCGCTGCGACCTGTCGGTCTTCAGTCCTGCCGACACAGTGCTTTAACCCACTGCGCCACCGGAAGTTGTAGTTCACCTACATCCAGAGAGCACTGTGGACTCAAACGATGATGAATCTGGACCAAACTTGGCATGAATACTCAGTATTTCCAAATGTGGACACTGGTGGAGTTTGGGGAAAATAAACCTTGACATTTGGGAGTTGTAGTTGCTGGGATTTATAGTTCACCTACAATCAAAGAGCATTAAATCCCACCAATTATAGAATTTGGCCCACAGAGAACCCCCACGACCAACAGAAAATACTGTTTTTTCTGATGGTCTTTGGTGACCACTCTGACACTCCCTCATGACCCCCCCCCCCCCAGGGGTCCCGATCCCCAGGTTGAGAAACGCTGAGCTAGAGGGAAGCAGTGTTAGGATGCCTGGCCTTTTGTATATTTTGTAAAGGTTGAACAGGCAGCGCTGAGGCCAAAGAAAGTGGAAAAGGAGGTTGCTATATTACGCATCCCATCGCTTTAAATAATGTTTATTAATGTCCGAGCCAAGCATGGGCAAACTTCAGCCCTCCTAATGTTTTAACTTCAACTTCCACAATTTCTAACATCTGGTAGTGATATTGGTCTAGATTCGATATCAACAGGCTGTTAGGAATGGTGAGAGTTGAAATCCAAAACACCTGGAGGGCTAAAGTCTATCCATGCCTGGTCCAAGACCCATCATATGGCGACCCCTTTCTTCGCCGAGTCAAGAAGGCACCAACCTGTATTAATTTGGCAGCCAGTGCATCGAAGAGAGAAAGAAATCATTGGAGGGAAAAAACAAAAGTCACACAGGACCTTAGGCAGATTTGTGTCCCTTTTGCCCATCATTTGAAAGCAAAGGTGGGAATCTTCCAGTCCTGAAAAATATAGGATGCGTCTATCTATATTATAGAACTAGCTGTCCCCTGCCATGTGTTGCTGTGGCCCAGTCTGGTGATCTGGAAAATAAAAAAGAAAACTGGGGACGGTTTTTGTATTCATAGATTCATAGTGCTTGAAATAAATATATGCTTGAATCCATGAATACAAAAATCTATGATTTACGGAAAGCTTCCCATATATCTAAAGCCCCCAAAGCAAACCTTGATTTTCCTATTATTATTATTATTATTATTATTATTATTATTATTATGCTATTATTATTTTAATAAAATTATTTTATTATTTTTATTATTATTTTACTGACAGAAAAACACAGTATGTCACAGCAAAAGAGATCTATATGCTGGATTTCGTATTACAAAATCACAAGTCAAACATTTCCCAAGCGTCTAGGACTGTGTGATGTATTTTAAATGATGTGTGCAGATCCAAGTAAAGTGGCCATTTGCAGTTGACAGATCGTGATTTTGTCAATGTTTATTGTTTCCAAATGTCGGCTAAGATCTTTTGGCGCAGCACCCAGTGTGCCGATGATCACTGGGACCACCTGTACTGGTTTATGCCAGAGCCTTTGCAGTTCGATTTTGAGGTCCTGATAACAGCTGAGTTTTTCCTGTTGTTTTTCCTCAATGTGACTGTCACCTGGTATGGCAACATCAATAATCCAGACTTTTTTCTTTTCCACAATCGTGATGTCTGGTGTATTGTGTTCCAAAACTTTGTCAGTCTGGATTAGAAAGTCCCACAGTATTTTTGCGTTTTCATTTTCTATTACCTCTGCAGGTTTATGATCCTACAAATTCTATTATTATTATTATTATTATTACTATCTTTATTTATACCCCGACTTTCTTTCTGTGGGGACTCAAGGCGGGTAACAATCCATACATGAAAGGCACTGCAGACTACTCCAACCAGAGAAATCAGCCATAGCAGAGCACCTGATGAACCAACCTGGACACAGCATTTTATTTGAGAACACAAAATGCTGGACCACTCTCACAACCACCATGTCAGACTACACAGAGAAGCCATTGAAATCCACAAATGTGGACAATTTCAACAGAAAGGAAGAAACCATGAAAATGAAAAAATCTGGCTACCAGTATTAAAAAATTCTAAAATTGCAACAGCAAAAACAGCAGAGAGAAAACAGGCAGGGACATTATCACCTCTCAACAAAAGTTTGCTCCAGGCACTGCCAGGCCATCAAATGCTAATCAAGGTGTTCAGTTGAAACATTCACACCTCGCTCCAGCAGACAAGAGTCCTTTGTCTCACCCTGGTCATTCCACAGATATATAAACCCCTTTTTTCCCAGCTCCAGCAGACCTCACCTCTGAGGAAGCTTGCCATAGATGCAGGCGAAACGTCAGGAGAAATGCCTCTAGAACATGGCCATATAGCCCGAAAAAACCCACAAGAACTGAGTGATTCCGGCCATGAAAGCCTTCGACAATACATTAAATCCATACTAGACAAGTTTTAAAAGTGCAATACAAATTTTAAAAAAACACAGTGTGATAAAAACAATTAAACTACAATAAATCCACTAAAATTGCCTTTAAAGCTCATATCCTCCCCCAATACCTCCCAACCTCCTCAAAGCCAGCCCATTCCCCTTCCCCAAATGCTTGTTGGCAGAAGAAGGTCTTGACCTGCTTATTTTATATATGGGGCACCACTTTACTGCTTCACTGTGTATAATGGGAATTGAGCATCCATGCATTTTGGTATTCATGGGGTGAGGGTCTTGGAAAATTCCCCACTGAGGCACCCACACTGTAGAATTAATGCAGTTTAACACTGCTTTAATTGCTTTGGTTCTGCTGTGGAATCCTGAAGTTGTATTTTTACAAGCCTACTTTGCCAGAGTGTTGGTGCCTCATCAAACTACAACTCCCAGGATTCCACTGCATTGAGCCAAGGCAGTTAAAGTCGAATCACATTAATTAATTAATCTATATAAATAAAAATGTAATGTTCGTTTGTGGGATTAACAGAACTCAAAAACCAGTGGGCGAATTGACCCCAAATTTGGACAGTATACACCTAACAACCCAATGTATGTCCTTCACTCAACATTTTTTTATTTTGACATTTGGGAGTTGTTGTTGCTGGGATTTATAGTTCACCTACAATCAAAGACCATTCTGAACTCCACCAACGATGGAATTGAACCAAATATGGCACACAGGACTCCCATAAACAACAGAAAACACTAGAAGGGTTTGGTGGGCATTGACCTTGAGTTTGGGAGTTGTAGTTCACCTACATCCAGACAGCACTGTGGGCTGAAACAATGATGGGTCTGGACCAAACTTGGCACAGATATTCCATATGCCCAAATATGAACACAGATGGAGTTCGGGAGAAATAGACCTTGACATTTGAGAGTTGTAGTTACTGGGATTTATAGTTCATTTTTCCCAGCATCATACTCTTCTCTAAGCTTTCCTTTCTTCTCATGATGTGGCCAAAATACTTCATCTTGGCCTCTACTATTCTTCCCTCCAATGAGCAGTCAGGCTTTATTTCTTGAAGTATGAACTGGTTGGATCTTCTTGCTGTCCATGGCACTCTCAGCACTTTCCTCCAACACCACAGTTCAAAAGCATCTATCTTCCTTTGCTCATCCTTCCCTATGGTCCAGCTCTCACATCCGTAGGCGCTTTAACTATGTGGATCTTTGTTGCTAGTGTGATGTCTCTACTCTTCACTGTTTTATCAAGATTGGGTGCATCTACACTGGCGAACTAATGCAGTTTGGCACCACTTGAATGGAGCTTGCAGATCGGTATCGAGCTTGCAGATCGATACACGGCATTCCTCCCGTGTATCTCCAAAAGACTGCACACAATCCAGTGACAGAGTTTTAGGCAAAACATTAGAGAGGTTTTTTTTTTCCTCTTTACAACTTTCTTTCTTCCTGACTCCCTGGAGGTGGGGAAACCAGTCACGGAGATCCCATGTGGTGCTTGAGCCAGCACTCTTGGCTCAAGAAGGTGAAAGACCTTGTGAGAGTACAATTCCCGCCATTATCCCATAGGACTGAACGATAGCAGTTAAAGCAGGCATGGGCCAATTTGGGCCGTCTAGGTGTATTGGACTTCAACTCCCACAATTCCTAACAGTCGCTAGGCTGTTAGGAATTGTGGGAGTTGAAGTCCAATACACCTAGACGGCCCAAATTGGCCCATACCTGAGTTAAAGTGGTGCCAAGCTGCGTTAAATCTGCGGAATGGATGCACCCCAAGAAAAGGTTCCTTCCTTCCTTCTGTTTCCTTCCTTCCTTTTCCTACATTCCCTCTCCTTCCTTCCTTCTCCTTCCTTTCCTTCTTTCTTTCCTTTCTCCCCTTCCTTTGTTCATTCTCCTTCCTTTCTTTCGTTCCTTCCTTCTTTCCTTTCTCCCCTTCCTTCATTCTCCATCCTCTTTCCCTCCTTCCTGTGCCTCCTCCACGTGACCAGCCTCAGCTCCCGTCGCCCTTTGAGCCGGGGAGGCTGCTTCCGGTGGGCACCCGGAAGCTCAGCCGCAGAGGCAGCGTTTGTGTCTCAGGCTCTCCTTCCTCCCTTCTTCCTCCTTTCTGTGGAGGGCAGTTGAGGGCCTTGGCCGGGCCCCGCTCTCTCCTGAGTGATGCATCCTCGGCGCCCCGAGGGCTTCGACGGCCTGGGCTTCCGGGGCGGGCGGGAGGAGCCGGGCCTGGGCCACTGGGTCAGCACCCCGCCCGACATCCCCGGCAGCCGCAACCTCCACTGGGGCGAGAAGACCCCGCAGCTTGTGGCCGGGACCCCGCTGGGCGCCTCCGGGTTCGGCGAGGACCCCTCTGGCGGAGGGCACGGCGCCAGTTCCGGTGAGAGGGCTCGGCCTCGCCAACCTCCAGGCCGCTTCCCAACGCAGGGACCTCCGCCGTTGCTTGAGTACAGCTTGACTCCACTTCACCTGCCGCGCCTCAAGGCTATGGAATCATGGGAGTTGTAGTTTTGCAAGGTCTTTAGCCTTCTCTGCCTACGAATGCTGGTGCCATGGCAGTTTAAAGTGCTGTCAAGCTGCATTCAATCTACCCTGGAGTTCCAGTGCAGAGCTAGGCGGCTTCAATAGGAGTGTAGTGTCCTGCTCAAAGTCAAAGTCCCATTCAATGCTGCTTTGGTTAGACCAGGGGTCCTCAAACAAAGGCCCAAGGGCTGGATACTGCCCTCCAAGGGCATTTACCCGGCCCTTGCTCAGGGTCAACCTAAGTCTGAAACAACTTGAAAACACAACAACAACAACAATCCTATCTCATCAGCCAAAAGCAGGCCACACTTCCCATTGAAATACTGATAAGTTTATATTTGTCAAAATTGTTATTCATTTTGATTATTGTATTGTTTTTAAGTGTCTATGCACTACAAATAAGATATGTGCAGTGTGCATAGCAATTCATTCATTTTTTTTCAAATTATAATCCGGCCCTCCAACAGTTTGAGGGATTGTGACCTGGCCCTCAGTTTAAAAAGTCTGAGGACCCCTGGGTTAGACCTTCCCTTGAACCCGGTGTCCGACCTAGACACCAGAGCCCCTGGTGGCACAGTGGGTTAAACGCCTGTGCCAGCAGGACAGAAGACTGACAGGTTGCAGGTTCGAATCCGGGAGGGTGTGGATGAGCTCTCTCTGTCAGCTCCAGCTCCTCATGCGGGGACATAAGAGAAGCCTCCCACAAGGATGGTAAAATATCAAAACATCCAGGCGTCTCCTGGACAATGTCCTTGCAGACGGCCAATTCTCTCACATCAGAAGCGACTTGCAGTTTCTCAAGTCGCTCCTGATACACACAAAAATAATCATCTGTCTGTGAACCTCTCTCCAACCAAACGAGGAAGTGCTCAGAAAAAGTCCTTGCATTTCTGTGTGAGATGAGTTAAAAAACCCACATTGTTGTTGTTTTCCAAATAAGAGATGTTGGATAAGACCATAAAGTGAAGACAGCGGTTTTTAGTTTCAGCAGCTTCATTACAGCAGTACATTGAAATGATGCTTGGGAAATAAATGTTATGTGATCATTTGATAATTAATCCTGGACGCAATTCATGAAGGATATCGACAAGGTGGGAGGTGTCCAGAGAAGGGCAGCCAAAATGGGCCTCTTCCACACAGCTTAATACAATCCCACATTTTCTGCTTTGAACTGGAATATATGGCAGTGTGGACTCAGATAACCCAGTTCAAAGCAGATATTGTGGGATTTTTCTGCCTTGATATGTTGGGATATAGGGATGTGTGGAAGGGCCCTAAATTGTTGAATCTTCAAAGAGGACTAGTCAGTTGAAACTTCTATTAAGCAAATTGCTGGGCTGGGAAGAAACCTTGTTAGTTTCAATTATTATCCAGAAATGTTTGGAGTTTAACGTTAGACCTAATTGTTTTGTTTTGTTTGAGGATTTAATTTCTTTTTGTGTGTTTTGTTGTTGTTGTTTTTTTAAGGCACCAAGTAGATAGAGAGGAAAAATGTCACTTTTTATATATCTGTATATTGCAGATAGGAACCTGTATTGAGTTGGGGTCCCTTCCAACTCAATAGGGGAAGCATATTAATTAGTTTAGAGGTGGGATGACTATCTGTCAGGAGAGTTTTGATGGTGCCTTTTCCCTGGAAGAAGGGGGTTGAACTAGATGGCCCTTGGGGGTCCCCTCAAACTTTGGGATTCTATGAAAATGTATAATTGGCTAATACTGGTTTATGTTGGTTACTATGAGAGACATTCAGTAATATAACTGTTGTGGCTTTATTTAAAAAAAACACTTTTGTCAAAACTTCTTTTAAATTCCCTAAAATCAGTTGATTTATGAATATATCTGAAAGTTGGCGGGAATGAGCCTCTGTTATCTTGTGTCACTGTACAGAAAATTCAAGGAGATAGCTCTTGCAGTTTTTTAAATTTTTTATAAAACTTTGAAAATTCCCCAAAAATTCATGGATAAGTGAAACCTTCTGAAACTGTATGGACTAACAGTGGTCAATGTGTTCTGCCATTGTAGCAAGTTTCACCCCAATAGCTGTAAAGATGAGGGAGGAAGGAGCCCTGAAGTCTTCCCAATTACAGTAATTATGTGCAATTACTATAACGAAAAAGTAATTAAATTTGGTACTCTTTATAGTAACAAAAATTTCACTAATTATACTTTAGAAAGGAAATGCCAGTGCCCCCTAATTTTGTAATGACTTTTGAAACTTTTTTTATTGATCGCATATGCCTAACTCTAGAGATTTTAATAAGACAAATCAAACCCCATAAAACTGGGTCAACTTATTTATGTATCAGTTTGAGTACTGTACCTTAAATCTTACAAAAAAAAAATAACTACCCGCTCTTCTGAATGGTGAGAGGCAAGAGCTTGGTTCCTCCCAGGAGAACCTAAAAGAAGCACCAACCCCTCTACTCTCTCTCTCTCTCTCTCTCTCTCTCTCTCTCTCTCTCTCTCTCTGACATGAACCTGCTTCTTGCATTTTTGAATGTCTGGACAGGAAAATACTGATGGCTGCTGGTCCAAAAGCCCGCATTGATCTCTATGAAATGACTCTCAACTTATCCACAGGTCATATCAAAATCCATAATTTTAGTCCCTGCTTTCAGCTTGTATATTAGATCAACATATTTTAGTATATAGAGTGGATCTAGTTCTTACATTTCAGTTCCACCATTGAGGATATAGTTGGTGGAAGAAAAAGAAAAACACACTATGCTCAGGCACATGTAAGCACATAAATCTGTGTTTTGTTTTTGCTGCAGATGCAGACAAAATACATATTATTTAAGAGATGTACACAAATTAGTACTTTATATATGTAATTATCCCTTGTATTTATGCGACTATCAAGTTATTTGTATCTTGAAATTATGCTTTTTCATATTAAAGCGACAGGTCATTTAGATCATTTGTATTGACCAAAAGCTTTTTTATTTCTTTGTTTCCTTAAAAGTAAATGTAAGCAAATTGTCTGTTTGTCTTTCAGAACAGTTGAATCGGTTTGCAGGCTTTGGAATTGGTCTGGCAAGGTAAGAGCTCTGAGCTGTTCCCAGTCATGTTATTTAAAAATGCAAGAGTGTTTCTGTTCCAAAAGTATATTGCTGTTTGTATGTTAAGTAGGTGTATACAATGAAAGAGTTTTATATTATCAAGATTGAAACACCTTGCTCACACTCTCATAAATATATGTGGGTACATGCTTTTTTTCAAATTGTTTGGAACAGTGTACACACAACACAGAAATAATATAAATGCAACAGCTTTGAAAAGAATCCACAAAGTGCTAATATTAAATCCCCAGAAACAAATATTAAAGAAGCTTAAGTCTTTTCATGTAGTCTTCGTGAAAAAAAAAAGTACTGGTAGGAGGCTCTATGACTCAGAAGCAGCCCTTGTAAAAAAGCTCCATTGCTTTACTGCAAACTGACTGTAAGCTGTCAGTATTTATACTTACTGAAAAGATGGCAAGGTCTGCTGACTAATGCCATAAATGTTGGCTTATGCAGAGAGCATGGTAAAGAATTCCAGAAAAGCATTAGACATTTTAAAAATTGAATTTGAGTCAAGAGCAAATTTGCAGCCTAATCCATTTAAGCTTATGTCATAATACATTTGCAAGACTGCTTGTTGTTCATAACTGAATACCACTCTCCCTCCTTCAAAGAACCATTAACAATCTCAGCCACAGGTCCATAAGGAAAATAAGACTTCGGAGGTGTTACTGTTAAAACTTTCCGTATCCTATCAGCATCCAGGATCTGGTCCATGTCGGGAAAGCCTAGCTGAATCAAACAGCTCTATCCCAGATTTGGCTGGCTAGGTATAAAATGCAGCACAAACATAAACAAGCGGAAAGGGGAGAATCCATTTCCCTCACAAGGAGGCAGGTCCATTCAGGTGCCGCATTTGAATGTTTGTACTTGGACCAGAAAGATGCATTAGAAATTCCCCTTCTACCATCCATCCTTCCATATTGAAACGAAGAATTTCAAGGGCACCTTCATAGATGTGCATCTGTAGACTCAATAGATTGAACAGAGCATCTCAACCTATTCTTTTCAACTGACTTTGAGGCTAGAAGCATGAACTTGAAATTGTTCCTTGTAACTCTGTTCACTGATCAAACTACTACAAAACATTGCTTAGGGAACTGCCTTTGAGGAGGCCGTGAAACTTTCTGCTGATACAGACTATGTCATGTCCACAAGATGTCTATTTTGATTCTACAGATTTCGTTAGAACCAATATATTGAATAATATGGTTATAAAAATAATTGCATATTTTAAAATACAGGGTGTTTCAAAATATGGACCCAATTTCAAAACTGTATATTTCATGATGGCAACATGTTATAATGGGCTGGATGAGGGGGGAAAATGAAACTGAATCCAGACGAAACAGAGGTGCTTGCATCAAGGGTGCTAATCTGGGGATGGAGGTGTGTCAACCAGTTCTGGATGGGGTTACATTCCACCTGAAAGACTGTGTTTGCAGCTTGGGAGTACTCCTGGAGCCCTCTCTCCAAATGTCAACCCAATGGTCAGGAGTGCTTCTTATTTGCTTTGGCTAATTTGCCAGCTGCGCCCCTTCCTAGATTTGGGGTACCTGAAGATAGTAGTGCATTCAGTGGTACCTTAAGGTTGGACTTCTTAAATGGGATTTACATTGGGCTACCCTTTTACCAAGTTTGGAAATTCCAGCTGGTTCAAAATATGGCAGCCAAATTGGGTACAGGAACATCTAGGAGTGAGCATATTACACCTATTCTAACATCACTCCACTGGCTGCTAATTAGTCTCTGGGAAAAGTACAAGGTGGTGGCTTTGACCTTTAAACCCTACATGGTTTGGGTCCAGGTTACCTAGAGGATCGCCTTCTCCCATACAATCTGCCACACGCACTTCCGTTTTCTAGGAGTATCCGCTCCAATCAGCCAGAATCCAACTGGCAACCGCCACCCAGAGGACCTTTTCATCAGCCACCCCAAGGCTGTGGAACAACCTGCCAATAGAGCTCTGACAGCTAAATCAGCTGTCGGAGTTTAAGATACACGTAGAAACCTGTCTCTTCCAGCAGGCCTATCAGATAGTCTGTAAACATAAACATGAATTTTAATGTATGTCCTTTGTTTAATCTCTGTTTTGTCTGTTTTAATATGTATTTCATAGAGATATATTTTGGTATGTAACTTTTATGGAGATACGTTTTAGTGTGTATAGTTGTAGTGTTTTTGCTTTGTTTATGTATTTTAATTGTTTCATAACCCACCACGAGCCATGCGGAGAGGCGGGTTAGAAATAAATTATTATTATTATTATTATTACTGCACAAAAAGTTACGCGTTTGAATGAGTTATTAAGTCATCAAGTTTTACCAAATATTTTGAGTCAGAAACAAATTTTAAAAACCTCCCTCAATAGAGATTATCTCATTAAGGCTTAGCATGCAAAGTTGTCATCTTTTGAATTGACTAAGATTAGGGGCTGTTTGACTCAATGCCCTTCCTTTTCAAGGGGTAAGAGTTTCATTCATGGGCTGTTTTTGATTGCAGAGATTGAGCGATTTCAAATTGGGTCCATCTTTTTGAAACATCCTGGTATAGTTTAAAGGGAACGTTATTTATTACTGACCATTACATTTATATCACAAAACTGTAACATAGACATCTTTATGGTATCCTTTCATTTTGAGGATTTTTTTGGCAAACCAAGCAACAAGATCAAAGAGTAGTTACGGGCCGGACCCAAAACTGTACAGTTCTGACTTCTTTCCAAGAGGACCTTGGGAAACAAACTAACATACACACATCTTACAACCTTACCTGTGGGGTTGAGTCTTACTGGTTAGACAGTTGCTATTCTAATTGCCACTCTTCGAAGTTTCCATGGTAACCAAGGACAGAATAGCCCCTCCCCCTGAAAATGTGCTGCCTGGCAACCAGAGCATGCAATGCTGTGTTCTTGATCTTTAGAGGTCTGGACATCACCAGGGTAGTTGTGCATTCTACAACTGTTGTTTCCTCCCTGTGGCACAGGTGACTGATGAAGTCTTGGAGGCGGATAATTATGTAAGATGTCTTCACTCCAGGCAATGAATGTTGCCCAGTGGCACCATCATTTACCTATATATAAGAGTTTGTGTAGCTCAGGCATCCTCAATGTCTGGCCCTCCAGCTGTTTGGGCCTCCAACTCCCAAACACCCTCACCAGCTGGTTCAGTTGTCAGGAATTCTGAGAGTTGGCAGGCCAAACATCTGGAGAGGGTGGAGTTTGAAATTGCCTGGTGTAGCCTATGTGCTCTACACGGAAGCCAGATAGTTCCAGTAATCACAGTTTTCTTTCAAATGAAACCCAGAACTGTTTTTTTTTTTCTTTCAAACATTGGCCTTGTGTAGAAGATGTGGTGAAAGTTTTGGTCAGACTTTAGTTTTTGTGCTATTACAGTGTCAAACCAATATGTTGGGAGATGGTTCTGTCACCGATTGAAGTGTTTAGTAGACTGGAGAAGGCTGCTGAATTCTTGTCTTCATTCACAGCCTTGTCCCCAGACCATCCCCTTGCAATCTGTTCCATTGAATTTCTCATTCTTCCCTGTGATAAAGATTGTAGGCGTTATCTCCATTTTAAAAGACCACTTACCTTACTTTTCGCTAGTGTGGTCTACTATCCACTCTGATTTTTCCTTTAATTCATTATCATATATCACAAACTTGACCAGACGTGGTTACTTGTATTGGACCAGCATTCTTCCATTGATTAATATTGCTGGCTGTTGGTGGCTTCATTTTCACTAGATTGGCTCAGGCCTCTGAAAAATAAGTGTTTCATCTAGGAGTGCTTTTTGTCTACATTGCTGCTTGATAATGGAAGTAACAGAGAAGTAGCATAAGCAATGAGTGGCTTTTGTAAGCTTCAAGAGGTGAAAAGATTTGTCCTTCGAGGATTGGATATCACTATCCATGTACTAGTTTCTTCTCATTGCAACTGCTGTAATATTTTTTACTTAAAAATTGATTAGAAATCCATCTAGTACAGAATTCTATAGCTTGACACTAGATTTTAAACACCAGAAATACAGTACAGATAACACTTGCCTGGATGCAGTGGCTACCTGTTTCCTTCTATACCTTATTGATGGTAATCTCTTCCCTCTTCTTGCCATATCTTGATATTTGAGTGAAATATGTGCTTTGTATTCTGGCCTTTGTCCAAATAAAATCTGTTAAAATTTGGAACAGAGACTTTACCAAAGTTGTAAAATCAAAGTTGTAAAACTAGCCAGCATTTTGTAGGTCATAAAAAACCAGGTATGTGATGATAGCAGTCTGAAAAACATCAATATTTAAAACATTGTTTTTCCAAAGTTTGTTTACAGAGAATGTGTTGGCTCATCCTTGCATCGTTCTGCGTCGGCAGTGTCAGGTAAATAGTCTGAGACCCTGATACAAATGTGCTTCTTTGTTTCTTTTACAATGTAGTCTTGCTTTCCTAGGAGTAAACATCCTAACTTTAAATGGGATTTCTAAGTAAACAAGCATGGGATTGAGATGTTAGTATTAAATTAGGAAAACTTACCATGGCAATTAGATTTGATGCGGATGATTGAGATGGTTTTAAACAATGGTTTTAATGCTGAGACATATTATTTTAATGAATGTCACCTAAAATACTGGGTTTGATTAGATACTGATTTCAGAATGTAACTTGCACATGCTGAGAAATCCAACAAGTCTTTGCAAAATCAGTCAAGAAAGTGGGTTGCTGTGTGTTTTCTGGGCTGTATGGCCATGTTCCAGAAGCATTCTCTCCTGACGTTTCACCCACATCTATGGCAGGCAACCTTGAGGATGCATTCCATAGATATGAGTGAAATGTCAGGAGAGAATGGTTCTGGAACATGGCCATACAGCCCGGAAAACACAGCAGCCCAGTGATTCCGGTCACCAAAGCCTTCGACAACACAGTCAAGAAAGTGCTCATAGACTCATAGAATGATAAGAGTTGGAGGAGACTACATGAGCCATCTAGTCCAACCCCCAGCCATGCAGGAAAAGCACAATCAGTATCCCTGCAGATGGCCTAACTCTAGTGAACACTATAATGTATACCAGTAGATATACAGCAATCCATTTTTATAATTACATGTATTTGTTTTTACAGGTGAATTATCATGCCAAGAATTATCATCTCACACCATTTACAATCATCAATATTATGTATAGCATCAATAAGACCCAGGTTTGTATTTGATGCCAGAGTACACACATTTTTCTTAGACAAAACCTGTAAAGTCTAAAATTTTCAAAATTGAATTCTGAAAACCTATTAATTATGCATAGCTTTAAAAGTAATGTTTTTCGTATAATTTGTCAGTATAAAAATATCTGTATAAACATTTAGATATAGTGTTGTGTAACAGCAACATGTTAATTATATTATGACTCTACCTCTGTATTTCTTCATCCTTGAATTCCAGGGACCCAGAGCTCTTTGGAAAGGAATGGGAAGTACATTCATTGTTCAGGGCATAACTCTTGGAGCAGAAGGCATCATCAGTGAATTCACCCCTTTGCCAAGGTATTGCCATTTTTTTTTATCTCAGTCTTGTATTAAGTGCATTATTTGTGTAGTGAGTGTGTCTTGGTAGTACTCTCAGATGTTGCCTGCATTGATTATTGTTGTTTGATCAATGTGCAATATCAGAACAATCTTTTCCAAGTGTGTAAAATACTCTCAATCACAGTCATCGGCATATTGAGGTTTTCTCTGTACTAATTTGCATTTACCTATATAGCATCATTAAGAGCTTTATTCATGTGTTATATCACTGTTTTTCAAATGCCATATACAGGCCAGTCAAGTAAGTATTAATTGTACTCCATTATGATAATCCATGTTTGTCTCTGCTCACTAAATATTATTCATGTCATCTATCAATGTGTGACATACTTTCGTATCTTCCACTTAATCTGCTAGTGATCTTTGCTAATTATGCAGTTATATTTTCTCCAGGGCTTTTAAAAATCATTCTCAGTACTGATTTGGGCTGGTCATTTAATATTTCAAAAAACACTGAGAACAAATCAAGATTTCTTTGTCCTAAAAAGAGGAAGGAGCAATCCTCTTTATGATTTTGTCTCATACTTCCCATTCCTGCGTATCCATGTTTATAGCTATCAACACCTTTTGATAGCTGTTTCATTCCAGTCAGCCATTAATATACATTTCTCTGTGCACAAATTATTCTAATATTCACCAAGACTTGGATTAATAAAGTACTTCCATTTCTGTAATAAGACTCTGTTCCTAAGAGATTTGTGAATTCAAGAATAGGCTGTCAGCCTGTTGCTCCAATTACGCTATGTAACAGAATTTTTGTTCCTGAGTTATAAATGTAATTTCCTAACGGGTTCAATCATGAAAAACATGGGAAAAGTTTCTTAAACTGCTAAACTTTGTTTTTGTGGGACATCCTGTAGCACATTTTGCTATAGTTTTTGTTTGTGAAAATAAGTTTAAGTTCCCCAAAATAAAAGAGTAAAAAATTAACTCAAATGCACTATTTAAAAGGAAAAAGATGGGAAACATCACAGAATGTAGTATGTAAGTTACAGAGTCATGTTAGTTAAGTAGTTATAATCTGTTGTTTCGTCAAAGACATAGAGGAGGTGGGAGTATTGTTATACATAGTCTTTAATCTAGGGAGGAAGTGACGTAAAAGAAAAGAGGTGTTCCAATTATGACACCTTCTCTAACAAGAGTAACAGATTATACTTCAGGATCCGAGTTGATTTCTTTTATCTTCTTATATTGTCCCTTCTTTTCTTCTCTTCTAATTCTGCATAATATTCCTTCTTCTTATTTTATCCATTAACTGATTCAAACTATTTTTCTACTCTTGATGGCAGTCAACGATATACATATCCTAAAGTTAATTTCTTTTGTTAGTAGATTAGTAATATACATGTAAATATTATAATTACCAGTCACATAGAATCTACACATAATAAATTTTCCTATATAAATGTATATATCTATAGTATCAACCTTCTTGAAGTATATATACTTTTCTACTCTAACTCAGAAATATTAATTTATAAATTCATCAGTTTTCTAAAACTTTTTTTTTGCTGTTAGATATGCAAGTTACATAGTTTATACGCAGGTATTATTTCATAATACTTTTAGTTCACAAATTCTATTGCAGTCATCGTCTCCTTTTTTTTTTTTTATAAAATTCATATAAGATTTCCATTTTTCTCACTGTTTTGTATGTTATCTTGTTGTAGAATTAAGGTTAATTCATCCATTTCAACCGTTTCAAAATTTCCTATAGTTTTTTAATGAATATCTCATAGAGTCTCAACCAATTCAACATAGTTTGTGGCAACCACAAAAATGAAGTGTTCCCCCGCTACTTCATGGTTCGCTTATTGCAGACTCGCTGTTTTGTGGGCTTTTCCTTCCCCCCAGGAGCTGCAGGGGAGGGAGGAGGAAAAGGAGGAGGGGAGAGGGAGCCAGGTGCTGGGCATTACCGTGGGGCTTGTCTCCGGATTGGGCCTCCGCTGCTCCTCGCTCCTTCCTCGGAGGCTCCTTGGGCACCGAGGCCCAGCCCAGAGACTGCCAGGCTGGGTGAAGCCTGGTCTTCCCTCTTCGGTGGTGGTCTCCCGGGCTGGGCCTTGGTGTAGCTTCTCCTGGGACCAAGCCGGGTGACCCTTTACACGCTGCTGACCCCTTGGAAGGCCCTTCCCAGCTGGCCTCCCAGGGTGCCTCCTCAGCAGCGACACGGCGGGGCCCTCAGCTCATAACAGCAATGGCACGTAATCAGCTTGCTCGCCCATGACTTCAGCACTCACCAAGGAGGAGGAGGAGGGCGGTGCTTGGCCAGGCCTAAGGACAACGACGCCACTCCTCCCTCTTCAGCAGAGGCTTCCCGGAGACAAGCCCCAGGCCTCCAAGGAAGAGGAGTAGGAGGGTGCTGGGGTAAGACACCCGCGATAAGTGAGGGAACACTGTACTTTTTCTTTTCTTTTCTCTTCTCTTTTTCTGCTTCAAACTCTTCTCTTTTCTCGCTATTCTTTTTCTTGTTCTGTTAGATCTTAAAATTTCTTTCTTTTTAACTATATGTATTATGAAAATATCTAATAAAGACCATATATATATATATATATATATATAGAGAGAGAGAGAGAGAGAGAGAGAGTCCTGCATAATTAAGCAGGAAAGAACATTTTCCAACCAGGAACAGATTTTTTCTCAAATATTGTTACATAGTATTATTGTCACTCCCACACATGAACACAACAAACTTCCACCCTCTAATGGAAGGGGACCGCTGTCCAAATATCCCTATTTCCTTACCTTCTGACTACACTATAGATGAAGAAGATATTCAGAATGGTTGTTTATAAAATCATGGAATTTTTGTTGTATCAGAATTAGCAGAAGCCACTGAATTGTAGGAGTAGGCAATATTTTTCATGTCCACCTTATCGTATGTGGTAACTACCCAAAAGCAATTTGTTGTCCCTGGTCAAAATACACTCTGCCTCATGCAGAGGACAGAGGTGAGCAGGAGGAGTGCCTTCATTAAATCTGCATAGTATGAGCAGAAATTGTTACCCTATGCTGTGTCGCATGCTAGGAAATTCAAGGAAGGAAATCACCCACTAATAATTTAAGGTTCTCTTAACTGTGTGGTTATGACATACAGATGTAATTATTTTCTTTGGCATTGCAATTCCTTTGCAAATTTAATGCTTAATTTATTTAAAAGTGAGCTTGGATCAATACATTTCCCTTTCAAATTTACAAAAGATGTTACTGAAAATAGTGATTTAAAGAATAATAGTGAGACCATCATGACATGCATAGAACAAGTAGTTGAGAAAGAGCATTGCAAGAGAGAAGTAAACATGAATATTATGTGGATGGCAGTTGAGAAAGACAAAAATTAGACCATGATGTAGTGCAAATGAAGATCTAATATATTTTCTAAACAAATCTGTACACTGGTGTGTGTGTGTATTTGTATATGGATGTAATTATATCTTTCCATTGTGGATTTTGATTTTTCCCTCCCTCATGGGCCAGCATGGCTATAGTTGTGTTTTACTTAGTGATTTAAATGTAATTGAACTTTTCCATAGATTGCAACTCTCCTTTTTAACAGTTTGAAATATCAGTTTCTGTACCACCGAAGGCCAAGATTAGCAATAGTGTTGTCTCTGTGGTTAGATTGAAAACAATTTGACCTTGTGTAGCTTAGCTGTTGTCATTGCTTAATAGATTGTCTTCTATCCAGTGTGAACGCATTTCTGTTTCAATTAAGTTGAGCCGTTTTAACTTCCGGATAGTTCAGAGCTGATTATTGAATGCCTCCTTCAAGGTTCTTGAAAGAAACAGCTTTAAAATGCTTGTTATCTTGGCAGCAAGAGTTATGTATCAAGTAGTGGTAGATAACAAACCAAGAGTAAAATGTATTTAGGGTTTTTTAAATAAGAGTCAAGGCATAGGCCTTCCAATTATTTTTCTTTTTCTTTAAAAACAACTAAACTTCCAAATTCAAGTGTCAATTATGTAAAGCTTTTATAGATATGGTTGCTTTTTAATAAAGTTGTCAATATTAAGACTTGGATTACATCAAAAAATAAGAATTAAAGTAACATTTGAAATACAGATAGTCAATTTGAAGTTATTTAGTGAACAAAAATCATGAAATGCTATATATTGAGAGGGAAAGAAATACTGCATTCCTGTGGGTTTTAAGATTGTGTGAAGAGATATTTAGCTTGCAATATAAAAGACTGAGAGGAGCTATGATAGCCATGTATAAATATGTGAGGGGAAGTCACAGGGAGGAGGGAGCAAGCTTGTTTTCTACTGCCCTGGAGGCTAGGACGTGGAACAATGGCTGCAAGCTACAGGAAAGGAGATTCCACCTTTAGGAAGAACTTCCAACTGAGAGCTGTTCAGCAGTGGAACTCTCTGCCCCGGACTGTGATGGAGGCTCCTTCTTTGGAGGCTTTTAAACAGAGGCTGGATGGCGATCTGTCGGGGGTGGTTTGAATGTGATTTTCCTGATTCTTGGCAGGGGGTAGGACTGGATGGCCCACGAGGTCTCTTCCAACTGTATGATTCAATGAAATCACTAAGTTGGTCTAATAGTTCACTTAAATTATGTTTAAAGAAATTCTAGTTGGAAGTTTTATGCTTCTTTAAAATACTTAATTGCTTTTACATTATTGAACAATGAAATGCTATTCTAGAATCATGCTGAATTTTCTTCCTCTGTGTTTCTCAACATGTTTTGAGGAACTATCGGTTTTTGTAGGCTGTACTTGCAGTGCATTAAAATAGCTAGGAACAACATCAGTATTATTTGAAACTATTTTTAGAAATTACGTAAGTCCCAATATTACACGTGGAGTAAGCTTGGTCTTAGTACAGATTTCCTTTATCAAAAGCTCTAAAAATGGTGTGACTTTTAAGGCTAGACCTAAAAAGTCCCCTGATAATATCTTCTGTTCAGTTCCCTGCTATTGTGCGACTATCTGAAAATAGGCAGAATACTTCCTTACAGAAAAGTGAAGATGGAAATGTATAAGAAGTGGCTCTTATACTTTACACAAAGTGTGATTCGTCCTGTCAACCTTGTATGCCTACTCAGTTTATATGTGATTATTTTGTTGTAAGTGTAAAGTACTGACTAGTTTATATGCTTGGATTGATATTATTACTCCTTTAATTTTCCAGAGAGCTCTCATATAAATGGAGTCCCAAGCAAATTGGAGAACATCTTGTCCTGAAAGGGTAGGTAATAATTTCTTACTATTGAAACTATTGTCATTACATCTTTTGATAATAACGACAGATGAAACAGACAAAATAAATTATTATCAGGGGGGCCCTGGTAGCACAGTTGGTTAAACCGCTGAACTGCTGAATTTGTTCATCAAAAGATTGGCGATTCGAATCCGAGGGGCATGATGAGCTCCCACTGTTAGGCCAACTTTTGGCAACCTAGCAATTAGAAAACATGCAGATGCGAGTAGATCAGCTTCTGCAGGAAGGTAATGGCACTGCATGCTTTCATGCTGGCCACATGACCTTGGAGGTGTCTATGGACAACGGCAGCTCTTTGGCTTAGAAATGGAGATGAGCACCACCCCCCAGAGTCGGACACAGCTAGACTTAATGTCAGGAGAAAACTTTACCTGCTATAAATAGTATTTGTTTGCCTGCAACCTAAAGTGAGCTAGAGTTTGGAATTTCAAGTTAATTTACCTTTAGATATGGACATCTGTGATATATTTCTGTCTTGGCTTGGTTATTTACTTAAATTTCATTAGACTATTGTTTGCACTGATAACTGAAACAAGGACTTTCAGCAGAACTCTTGTTTCTGTAGGACCTCAACTAATGCATGGACTTAGCAGGTCTCACCAAAACATCATATATTTCCAATGAGGAATGTAATACACTTTGCATTGCTTAATACACACATACTAATACTGAGAAGTATTGGAGTAAGAATCAGTTACTACTAAATTAATCATTCATGTGGAAGGATAATTTTACATTAGGAAGATTTCAGGAGTCCTCGATAGTGTTCAAGAAGTGCCATCCCAAGTCCAATCCAAGTCATATAAACCTAAGCCAATTTAACTTTCATTGGGTAAATTGGATTACATTTAAAAAAGCCTCAGCTTAATAGGATTGTTCATCAGGCTGTTTGAAGCTAGCAAAAGGAAATGTGTGTCCGTTCCCCCCAGAATTCTAATTGTGCTTATTCTTCTAGGTTGTCTTACATGATTGCAATGCCTTTTTATTCAGCAAGTCTGATTGAAACTGTGCAAGTAAGTTTTAAATGCTTTTACCTGCCATAGATGTGGGCAAAACGTCAAGAGAGAATGCTTCTGGAACATAGCCATACAGCCCAGAAAACGCACAGCAACCCAATGATCGCATTTCTTATCACTAGTTCTTGACTCATCTCTATAGAGATACAGTTAATATCTATAACTGACTTTGTGCAAATCTGGAAAGTGGTGAATCTTTGGAACTAGTAGAAGCATTCCCCAAATGTGTGGGATAAACTTCCTCTCAAAAAATGGTGTTTGCATATTTCAAAACATTTTTTGTTCAATTATATGACTTTTGGCCACTTGGCGGTGCACTTGCCACTTGGTGGGTTTTTTTGGTTTGGGTTTCATTACAAGATAGAAGAGAGAAAGGTGATTTGAGTCATATCTGAGTCACATAGATAAAATAATGACTCTCTCTATGATGTCATGGTTTTTAAATATTTGTAAAGTTTTTGCCTCTTGATTTTTTGAGATTAATCATAAAAACCTATGTATTTGTGTTCCCTTCTTAGCTGCATTTTTCCTAATAGCAACAAAATGGGTATGAAACTAGCCATCCTGTTCATGAATATAGAATGTCTTTTAATATCCATTGAGCAGTACCTCAAAGTAGAAATAGAAATCAGCATTCCCCCAAGTCATGTAGTCTAATTAGTCATAAAATCTAATACCTAGTTCCTTTTGGTAATTTTATCTAGAGAAGACCAATTGGATAAATGAGATTTCCATCAATGACTAAACATCATATCACTTCCCTTCATGGTGGGGGTGGTTGAGTGATGTTGAGAAAAAAATAATATCCACACTTTCAAAAGAAGGGCATCTTTTGTACTTATTTTGTAAAAAAAAAATATCCTGGAAAAATATCTTTTTAGCTGGTGGACTGAAAAATGTTCAGAAACCACATAGTCCTGGTGGAATATCACTAAGAGACAGGAGCTTGACCTTCTATGCAACTTCATATGCCAGATAGGAAATCACATTTGCACAACTGTTTGTATCAAAAAATAGCCTACCGTACGTTTATGGGCCAGTTGCAACAAATGCCAAATGTTTTGGCTGATAGCTCAGGTTTAGAAGGCTACACTGGCTCTTTTCTTCTCTCCAGAGTTAAATAGTTTTTCCCCAACAGGCTCTAGAAAATTGACAGCCTCTGTGGAAAGATTTTTTTTGACATCATCTTTTCTGTTTCATTGCTTGTGGTTTAATGATGTTTAATTCTATTGATAAAATATATTTCAGAAATAATGTTTTATATATTAAACTTACCTGTCGAACGTATCTCCCTCTATGAGCCAGTTTGAGCATTAAGATCTGCTGGGGAGGCCCTGCTCTTGATCTCACCCCCTTCGCAAGAACAACTAGTGGGGACGAGAGACAGGGCCTTCTCAGTGGTTACCCCTCGACTCTGGAACTCCCCAGTGATATCAGACCGGCCCCCTCCTTCCTGGTCTTCAGGAACAAGTTAAAGATCTGTCTTTGGACTCAGGCATTTGGGGAGCAGTGTAATATGGAATCCAAATTGAATGTAGCAGCACAAATAACGATTATGGAGCTAGGCACTATGTTTTTAATCTGTTTTATTGTATTTGTGTATTTCAATTGTTTTATTGCTCAATCTGTTGTATTTATTCCTCTGTATGTGTAATGTGGCATTGAATTTTTGCCATAATTGTAAGCTGCTCTGAGTCCCCTTTGAGGTGAGAAGAGCAGGAAGAAATGTAATAAATAAATACATAAATAAATGTATCGTCACTAATATGAGTCTTCATGTGACACACAATTATATTTTGTAAGCCGTTTCAGCTCCCAGGTCTGGAAGAAATGTGGGCAATAAATCAATAAAGGAATGGGAGTTGATGCAAAACAACTGGAGGCTCAAAGGATTTTCCCCACACTCTATAGTGAATGTTAAACCCTTTCCCTCTTTGGTTACTATTAGACTGTGGTTGGACCCTTTATTCTTGGCCAAGGGACTAATCAGGAAGGAGAGGTCCTCTTGATTTACTTTGAGGTCTTTTTCCAGAAAGTGAGCCATCAAAGTTGATCTGTTGGAAGGGACTACAACATATCCTAACAACTGATTGAACCCAATACCCACTAGATTACACAACAGAAAGACCAGCTTTCTGTTTGGCATCTTCTACAAAAGGCCCACTGACTAATGTCATGATATGAAATACCTTGTGGCAATTTTTATCAGGCTAAGTTGTTCAGATGAACTTGGGAGTGCTTTGCTCATATTGAAAAGCATTCAAATTGGTTACACTTGGAACTTTTCCATCACTTGAAAGGTTTATTCGCATGCTTCCATTAACATGTATACTAATTAAATTTAATATAAAGAAAGTTAACAAGGATTTATTGCAACATTTTTAAAGGGACGTGTATTCAAGGCATTATTGTGTTTTCTTTCAGAGTGAAATCATTCGGGATAATACTGGCATTTTGGATTGCCTGAAAGAGGGCATCGGCAGGGCACTGGGCTTTGGGGTGCCCCATAGCAAGCGACTACTCCCTCTCCTGGCATTGACCTTTCCAACAGTTCTGCATGGCGTGCTGCATTATATTATTAGTTCTGCTGTACAGAAGTTAGTCCTCTTTTTTCTCAAGAAGGAGAATTCCCACAACCTGGCAACAGACAACTCCAGTTCAGTCCAAAGTATGTTGGATGCTTACTTTCCAGAACTTATTGCTAGCTTTGCTGCCAGCCTTTGTGCCGATGTCATTCTCTACCCGTTGGAGACAGTCTTGCACCGCCTCCACATTCAAGGGACACGCACCATCATTGACAATACGGACCTTGGGTATGAAGTTCTTCCCATCAATACTCAGTACGAAGGAATGAGAGACTGTATCAATACCATAAAGCGGGAAGAAGGAGTATTGGGATTTTATAAAGGGTTTGGGGCTGTAGTTGTACAGTACACATTACACGTTGCTATACTGCAGTTCACTAAAATTCTTTATTCCACACTGCTTCAGAACGTTTCTTAAAAAACTAGTGAATGTGGCCATCTAACAGGCCATACATTCAGAAGAGGGGTAAGCAAGTAAACTAAAAAAATTAGGATCCATTGTGATGGTTTTTCTTTTTACTGCTTAGAATGTTCCTTTGTAAATACAGATGTATGTTCTTTAATGTAATGTACACAAAACTTGATCAAGGGGGAAATAAAAACATGAAAGCCAAAACAGGGCTTTTACTAAGAATGTAAATAAACTATTTGAAAATATACTGCTGTGTAGAGGGTATGATTTTCAGACTGTTGATGGAGCTTAGACACAATCCTGTTGGCAATTTCTAGTTCATGAATTCTGTCTGAAATTAATGGTAGCTGTGCTCTTGTCTATAACACCTCTTGGAGACTTGCACTTTAAGGATTGTGCCTTTGTTTCTGTCTGTAGTTTGAAATGGGAATTAATTGGGATGTATTGGAAGGCTCACAAAATCCAATGAACTTTGACAATTCTGTTTTACCTGTAATTGCTATAAGGATTAAAATCCTCATATTTTTCAAGATCATTGCTTTGGTTAAGAGTTTGAATGTAAGAGACAAAAGGCCTTTCTGGCCTTAGTTTCCCAAACTTGAAACTACGTGTTTGACACAAACTGGAAACTACATGTTTGACTTGGATTTGTCATCTTTCTGTCAAAAGATAATATGATGCAACAACAACAAATCTAAAGAAAGATCCTGAGATTGAAGTTGTACTACTTGATTACCTAAATCTAGAATACCAGCAAATATGAGACTTCAAGACAGAAATACATATGGTACAGTTGACTACTATTTCAGAACAGTCGCCAGAAGAATACTTAGAAGTTAAGGTCTTCTGAACAAATACCACCTAAATGAGGTATCTTGTATTTCCACAAAATGCCTTATGGATTTTTGTGCAAAAGTCCTCTAATCATGTCTCTGAATTGTTTTCAAAAGAATTGCTCCACATGACTTTTAATGTTTCAGATCTCATAAAAATCTAGCTTAATCTGTGGTCTTTATATTTTCTAGCACAGCAGTCTGAATTGTCCTCAATTGTGGTTTTAGGCATGTAAACCATGCTGAACTGTTCTTTTGGAATAGTTGCTCATCACTATAAGACGAAACACTGAATTTGAATATGCAATTTTATTTCCTTCCCCAAATGTCAAGATTTGGCTTTGTAAAAACTAAATCCAAAAATTAAATGTTTTATTTTTGCTCTATTTCCAGGCTTGATCTAATGAAGGTGTATAGAAAGATTATTTTTAGCAATGGAATCGCATGCTAAAGAAAAACATTCGAAAAGGTCTTGTTTCTCTCATAGATTAATGTGTGTTGTAAGAGACTTGGTATATATGTTTGAATCTAGTAAATTAATGTTCAAATTCAGGCTTTGCGTTATATACGTATTTATTTACTAGGCGCAGTTATTAAGAGCCCAGTGAACAATTCTGACACAAAGAATGACCTATGAAACAATTCTGACACACAAAGAATGACCTGTGAAACTGTGTACATGAATCTATTGGATTTTATGACTAAGGATACAAGAGGGCTTTAGTTGTGATAAATCTGGAATACTTTTAAGTACTTTCGAATAAATTTGGGACAGGTTTTAGCTTTTTAGCATATGTTGTGGATGTAACATTTTCGTAATACTTCTCAAAAGGTTACTGAATATGGGAATACCTTTAAAGGGGTGATGAAGCCTTTTAGTTTTAAATAAAACTATTAAAACATTGTCCTGTTATGAGCCCTTGAGTCCCTATAATAGAAGGAATTTGTTTCACTGAATCTCTAAGGGGGAATTAAAATTGGTGCTGGTGTCATTTTGAAAAATCAGGAAAGTATTTTTTTAAATTTAAAACATTTATATTCCACTCTTCTCACCCCGAAGGGGACTCGGGGCAGAGCACAAGCTACGAACGGCAGACATTCCATCCTGGGACATAAAATAGCTATAAATATACACAAATATTAAAATCAGTCATATGTAGTTTAAAATCAGCTGTTTAAAACCAGGTTCCCTATTTTTGCATCATTGCACTGCCCCAAAGGCTTGGTCTCACAGCCAGGTCTTTACCATCTTTCTGAAGGACAGAAGGGAGGGGGCTGATTTAATCTTGCCAGGAAGGAAGTTCCATAGCCGGGGGACAATCACTGAGAAGGCCCTCTGGTCCCCGCCAAACATGCCTGTGACAGTGGCAGGACCAAGAGCAGGACCTCCCCAGAAGATCTTATTCTTTGTGGTAGTTCATAAAGGGAGTATGCATTTGGGCAGGTAAACTGGGCCAGGACTGTTTAGGGCTTTATAGGCCAACGCCAGCACTTTGAATTGTGCCCGGTAGCAAACAGGCAGCAAGTAGAGCTGACATAAGATGGGAGTTGTGTGCTCCCTGTATGCCGCCCCAGTTATTAACCTGGCTGCCTCTCACTGGATTATTTGAAGCTTCCGAACAGTCTTCAAAGGCAGCCCCACGTAGAGCGAGTTGCAGTAGTCTACCCTGGATGTAATGAGAGTGTGGACCACCGTGGCCAGGTCTGATTTCCCAAGGTACAGGTGCAGCTGGCGCACAAGTTTTAATTGTACAAAAGCCCCCCTAGCCACTGCCGCAACCTGAAGTTCCATTCTCAACAATGAGTCCAGGAGGACTCCCAAGCTGCAAACCTGTGCCTTCAGGGGGAGTGTAACCCCATCCAACACAGGCTGTAACCTTATACCCTGTTCGGCCTTGCGACTGACCAGGAGGACCTCTGTCTTGTCTGGATTCAACTTCAATTTGTCCGCCATCACAGCAGCTAGGCACCGGTCCACAGCCTGGACAGCCTCTTTAGCATCTGATGGAAAGTAGTAATAGAGTTGGACATCATCTGCATACAATTGGCATCGAACTCCAAAACTCCAGATGATCTCACCCAGCGGCTCATGTAGATGTTAAATAACGTGGGGGACAAGACTGAACCCTGTGGGACACCACAGGACAATGACTGCGGAGCAGACAACACCTTCTGGGTACGATCCTCCAGGAAGGACCGGAACCACTGCAGAAAGTATCCCCAAGACCCATCCTCATGATCCAGAAGGATACCGTGGTCTACAGTATCAAAGACCCCTGAGATGTCCAGGAGAACCAACAGGGATACACTCCCCCTGTCGAGCTCCCTGTGAAGATCATCCACTAAGAAGAATATGGTTTTCTCAGTTCCATGACCTGGTCTGAAACCAGACTGCAACAAGTCCTTGTGGACGCAATGTTGGCCGCAAGGTGAGATTTACTTGCCGCCTTCACTGCCACGGAATATGGCCTTGCATAGGCGCATGCCCGTGTTCGGTCTGATTCGTTGCAAGATGTCCGCCATATGTCCTCTAGACTTCTCTTTGTTCACTTCATCACTGCCAGCTCCTCGTTGAACTCAAAGGCTGATGTAGCTCTGCTATGCAAGATGGGTTGCTCCGGAGCAATTGTGTCTATTGTCCTGGACATCTTCCTGTTAAAGAGAGCAACCAGAGCATCAACAGAATCACCTACCTCTGTGGCGGGAAATTCCCCAAAAGTAGTAGTAGTAGTAGTAGTAGTAGTAGTAACAAAATAATAATAGTATTTCTTACTCGCCTCTCCTCAGGATTTGTATGGTATGGTGAAGCAATTTTGAGAGCCCTTTCACATTTTATAAAATAGATTTATATATTGCCTATATACTAGTATCCTTTGAGAGCTAACTAGTTGGGGAAACATTTCAAGGGTTTCTGTAATCTTGCATGTTTCTCTGAAAATTTATTCTTTTTAAAAGGTTGTTTTGGAAAAAACTAATCTTCATCCAAAACAGCATTTATTACTCCTATTTATCACATGAACAGCATGCAAATACAAGTGGTGTCATTTTCTTAATAAATTGAAATGAAAGGTTGAAATAAATAGCCCTTAAGGAATTGCTTATATTATTATAAGCCCAATTTAATTGTGTTGAAATAAGCAGCAGCTGGACTTCTTCCTGTTACTTCTGGGCACACAGCTGGAAGAGGCAAGAAAACGAAATATCCAGAATTAGCCATAAAATGGAACAGTTCGAAGTGCAGTATTTTAGAAAGGGTTTTTCCAATTTTTGTACCATATATATTCATGTATAAATTGATGAAAAATCCATAATTCCCCCCCCCCCCCCGATATGCTCATTTTTGAGGGTCCTAATTATGAATTTTGATGTGACTGGTGGATATGTTGAAGATCATTCTGCCAAGGGAGGAAGTGCCAGGGTGTTGGGTTCCTATCGCACCAGCTGTGGTTCTATAAAGATTAATAATAATAATAATAATAATAATAATAAGTGAAACAAACGGTAATAAAAGAGAAACATGCACTGGCAGATTATGTGAAAGGCAGTCAAGAACCAACATTGAGGGAAGTCAATATTAGTAGACTGCTTCTTTTTTATATATATATATAATAATTTTTATTGATTTGTCACAATTATTACATTTGTTATACATTTGTTATTACTATTACGTTTTGTACAGCAACCTCTTTAACATGTTGTTTTATTATTTTGCTTTGACATTTTCCCCTTTTTTATTTCACCACAGTGCTCCCCTCCACCCGTCTCAAGCCACAATTCTTACATATCATCTGTCCAAAATCTCATTTCTTCTTGTGACGGTAATTTTCCTTCCTTGTTTTTTAGACCATTTACCACAAATCTTCCCCATACAGTATCAAAATCACTTTGTTTCCATATACCTTTTTTAACCTTTAATATACATGTCAGTTTATCATTTATTGCTATTTTCCATGCTTCCTTATACCACTCCTCTATTTGTATATTCATTTCTTTTTTCCAGTTCCTTGCTGTGAGCAATCTTGCTATTGTTAATAAGTTTGTTATCGCTTCTTTATCCTCCTTTTTCAATTGCTTATTGTTATATAATGATAGTAAGGCTATACTAGGACTTTTATCTATTTTTATATTCATTATAGTTTCTATTTCTCTAAATACTTTCTCCCAAAAATTATTTACATATTTACATTGCCACCACATGTGTATATATGTTCCTGGTTCTTGACACCCTCTCCAACAATTTATTGAGTTATTTTTATTCATATATGCTATTCTTACTGGTGTCAAATACCACTTCCATATTAACTTGTAATAATTTTCTTTAACCCGTATCGATAAATTTTTTAAATGTCTTTGTCCCCATATGGGGACAAATGGAAACATCTGGGAGTGGCAACGGACTGTGCTGGCTGCCCAGAGGACGGCCAACAACTTAACATCTGGCCTTGTGGATCAGCCCACCGCACCTTGTACTCAGGATCAACATCTCCTCACGGACAATTTTGCGGTGGACATTGCAGATCTAATGGTAAACAGAGGCAGATGGACCTCCAAGAGGGCAGTTTGTAATTCCTTGGCCCAAATCCTGGGGAAAAGATCACAGGATATAAGACTAAAAGCCATAGTGTGGTTGTGGAGGGATTATCAATCTTTTGACCGCTCCACCCGTCTTCAAATTTCACCAGAAGACAGCACTTGGCTTGGTGATCTAATGGCTAAACAACTTGACCTAAAGAAATGGGGCATCACCATTAGAAGGGTAGTTGTGGACCCTCACATTCGCCCCTTGTTTGACTCCGGGGTTTCTTTCCACCATGTTCCATCTGGCCCCCGTGCGAACTCCACAACTAGCTCCCCAGTTAGGGCCCCCCCTCCTGGTTTGTATCACTTTGAGACCCCATCTGCCCCAGCCGCTCCCACTCAGCCAGCCACTCTTCTCCGGTCAAGAACGCTCCCTCTATTCAGCCCACTTAGCTCCCTTGATGTCTCGTTATCCACCTCAACATCAGAATCACCCCTACCTAACGCTCAAGGAAGATTATTTCCCAGCCCGACCTCCTCCTCTGAGAGCTGACTAGATCCTGGCCATGTGGGGGGGGGGAGGTTCTAGAGAAGGGGGGTGCTATCCGAGTCGTGTGGGGAAGGAGATTTGCGGGTCACAAATATCCCAGGGGGAAGCGCAACAGAGTCCTTGCGACCCTGGGAAAGGTAGGTAGTGGTAGGCTCCTTGGCAGCCCCCTTGGTCTTAAGGTCCTGTTGATCAATGCCAGATCCGTAAATGGTAAGACCGCGGCCATCCAGGACTTGATCCTGGATGAGAGGGCGGATCTGGCATGCATCACCGAAACCTGGCTGGTAAAAAAACTAGAGTCCTTGCGACCCTGGGAAAGGTGGAGAGTGGTAGGCTCCTTGGCAGCCCCCTTGGTCTTAAGGTCCTCTTGATTAATGCCAGATCCGTTAATGGTAAGACCGCGGCCATCCAGGACCTGATCCTGGATGAGAGGGCGGATCTGGCATGCATTACCGAGACCTGGTTGGACGAGCTGGGGGGTGTAAACCTTTCCCAGCTGTGCCCACCAGGTTTTGGAGTGCATCAACAGGCCAGACAAGGGGGGCGGGGAGGAGGGGTCGCAGTGGTCTTTCGGCAATCCATCGCCGTGACCAGATGCGTTGTTCCGCAGGCTTCTAGGTTCGAGTGTGTCCACTTGAAAGTGGGGAGCCGTGACAGTGTGGGGTTCCTGCTGGTGTACCGCCCACCCCGTGACCCAGCAGCTTCCCTGTCCGAGCTTGCGGAG